AGCGCTGGAGATGGGCGCACGTGCCCGGCTCCGCGCCCTTCAAGAGCCTCTACACGGGCAACGTCCGCGGCGACGAGTCGGACCCGCGCACGTGGGGCCAGAAGAAGAAGGGCTGGATGACGAGCACCGGCAAGGACGGCAAGACGTACTACACCTACACGGACTACACGTCGACGTCGACGGCGGGCTTCTCGTCCAAGCCCGGCAAGGACGACAAGATCCGCCGCAAGGAGTGGCGGCGCAACTTGCTCGAGCGCCGGCGCAAGCGCGACGCGCAGGAGCACCGCGCGCAGATCGAGGCGGAGAATCGCGGCACGGGCGGCCACGCCTTCGACGCCAACGAGCTGCTGAACGCGCACATGCAGCCCGACTCGCCGCCGAAGACGCCCTTCAGCCACCGCTCCGACGCGGAGCTCGCGCACCTCGACGCGGAGGTCGCGGAGCTCCTCTCCCCCGCCATGTCCCCGGCGACGTCGCCGGCGAAGACGCCGGCGAAGAAGTCGCCCGCGCGCGGCCGCGCGTCCCCGTAGCCCGAAGTAACTTGAGGACAGCTGCAGCTGCCGAAGGTCGAATGTTGAAGTCGACACCTTTGACGGTGCTCGGCCGTTAGGGGATCCGGGCCATTAGGGGTCGCGGTCGCTCTGCCAGAACGTGAGGACGTGGCCGAACACGTCGGCGGGCGTCTCCAGGAAGAGGCGCTCGTGCGCGCGCACGCTCGAAGCCGACGCCGCGCGGCCGCGATCGCGGAGGGCCGGGAGGCGCTCGCGGAGGGTGAGGAGCGCGTCGATGTACGGCTTCCGTTGCGCGGCGACGTACGGTCGCCAGCCGCCCGCGGCGCGAACCGCGGCGAGGTGGTCGGCCGTGGCCGTATTGCCGGCGGATCGCGCTTCGGCCTCGGCGTCTCTGCCATCCCGCGTGCTCGCGTCGAGCGACGCGCCGCGACTCAGGAGGAGCTTGCATACCTTTCGGCGATTCTGCGTAGCTGCGTAGTGGAGCGCGGTCCAGCTATGCTGTTCGCGATCGTCGACTCGCGCGCCCGCGTCGAGCAGGATGACCGCCGCGTCGTGGTGGCCTCGGATAGCCGCGCCGTGCAGCGGCGTCAATCCGGGTTTGGGGAAGCCAACGTGGACATCGGCGCCGTGTTCGAGGAGCCATTTCATCACCGACAACCAAGAATTTTGGGCTGCTAAGAACAGGCGCGTCGCCCACCCTTCCTTCTCGACGATCGCACCGTCGTCTGTGATACTGACGAGCGCGTTAAGGTCGCCGCCGCACACAATCGTCTGGAGCAGGACCCGCCCTTCAACGTCCATCTCCGCGTTCTCGAACTTCACCGTCACGTGGAAGTCGGCCCCGCTGCCCGAGGCGTGCTCGGCGAACGCCTCGAAGCCGCGCACGAAACGCTCCATCGCACGAGCGGGCAGCGCCACCGGCAGGGTGAATTCAGGATGCCGTTCAACACGGCCGCCGGAGACGGCTATGGCAGCCCCGAGAGCACAGGTAGTGTTTTTTCTCCTCTTCTCGTCGATCGTCGCAGCCGTGCACGCCCACGGCAGCACGAGCGCGCCCAAACCCCGCAACGCCGAGCCGGCGTCCAAGGGCTACATCGCCTACGGCGTCACATTCTCCGCGAACGCGTCGACGGTGGTCATGGCGACGCACAACCAGCACCTCTGCCCCGCGGGCGGCGGCTACCAGACGGAGAGCTATCCCGCGCACGTCTGCGTGCCGAATCCCGTCACGCAATCGCGGCCGACCTACCGCTTCGGCGCGACGGCGCCGACGGCGCCGGGGCGGATCGTCGACTGCGCCGCGAACGAGAACAACTGCACCGCCGCCGCCGCGACGGATTCGCGCGACGAAACGGGCGACTTCGTCTACGTCACGCAGTACCCGCCTTTCAGCGACTGCTCCGAGCCCGTCGTCACGTACAAGATCCGCCAGCGCGCGTGCGCACAGCTACCGGTCACGGGCGACGACTACTGGACGGGCGGATGCGCGGGCTACTCGTGCCAGTGGTTCTCCCAGGGCTGCGCGGCGGGCTGCAACTGCACCGGAGACCCGTTGGTCGACCACTGCGACGCGGCGACGGCGCCGACGCTGCCGGATGAGTTCCGCACGTTCAACGTCGACGGCCGCGACCCCGAGGACTGGACGCGGACGCACCCCTGGCGGTCGCCCGGCAAGGCCGACGTCTTCGACGCGTGCGGCGTCGCGGGCGGCGCCTTCAAAGACAACACGAAGCCGGGCGGACATCCGCCGCCGGGGCACGAATGGGGCGACCGAGGATCGGAACTCCCCGCCGGCGAGCCCGTGGAGACGTGGTCGCGAGGCGCGACGGTCAACGTGAGCTGGGGCATCGCGGCGAACCACGGCGGCGGCTTCGCGTACCGGCTGTGCCCGGCCGAGGAGCCGCTCACGGAGGCGTGCTTCCGGGCGCACCACCTCGACGTCGGCTCGAAGCAGGTCCTGCGCCTCGGCAACGGGAGCGAGGTCGCGATGGCGGCCCAGATCGTCACCAGCGACGGCGCGCCGTGGATCCGGAACCCCATCCCGGCCTGCCATTTGAAATCCTCCGGCAACGGGGAGTGCGGCGCGCCCCAGTTCCCGCCGCCGCCGGGCTGCGACGAGACCTGCTGGGGCTCGAGCGACAACCACACGCTGGGGCTCGTGTTGCCGGTGATCGTGAACGAGGTCGTCGTGCCCGCAGATCTCCCGGCGGGGCGCTACGTCCTCGGGTTCCGATGGGATTGCGAGGGCACGTCGCAAATCTGGGCGTCCTGCAGCGACGTGGCGCTCGTCTGAGCGGCTTTTTCTAATTTTACCGAGGACCGAGGATGCGGAAGAGCTGCGCCTGGCACTCCGCGGAGAGGCCCGACTCGCGCGACGTCCGGACGAAGTGGCCGTCGAAGAGGGGCGCGTGGGGCGAGTTCATGACGTCGAGGTCGTCGACGGCGACCCAGATGAGGTCCGGCCGGACGTTCGCCGTCCGGATCCACTCGGCGATCTCCTCGGCGCGATTCGACTCCGCCGGAGGCCAGCGACCCATCTTCAACGGCAGCTGCGGCGTGTCGTCGAGCACCGCGAGCCGGTCGACGCCGACGCTCTCCAAGCGGCTCAACAGCTTCATGCGATACTGGGGGTGAAGGCGCCAGGTGCTCGAGAGTATGATCTTCGTGCCGCTATAGTGGACGACCTCGCCCAACCGCTTCAGGAGCTTGCTGTGGATCGCGTCGCGCGGGCGGCAGTACTCCGTGTTGAGCACGCCGTCGACGTCCAAAAACAGCAGCTTGCGCGCGTGCCGGATCTGCTCACTGTTGTCGGGCTTGAAGCCGAAGCCCAGCGATAACCGTGGGCCTCCACGCCGCGCGACGGGGCTATGGCTCACGACGCGCCGCCCGCCGCCGCGCGAGCCCGCGACGCTCCGCGCGCCGTAGGCGCTCGCCGTCCGCGGCACGAGGGCCGAGCTGCCCATCTGGCGCACCGGCCGCGAGCTCGTCATCGCGCGCGCGGGACCGATGCCCGACGTTCGACCGCGCGCCACGGATCGGATCGAGAAGCCGTGCGGCGGCGTTTTGCCCTGCGGCGCCGCCCGCGCGCTGCTCTTCTGCGTCTCGATCATGGACATGGGAAAGGGCCAGATCGTCGGCGCCATTTTGTCTCGACGCGGCTCCTCGATATAGCGTCTATGCCCGGCCGACGCCGGCGCGGCTTTTCGGATATGGGCAGCGGCGACAGAGCGGCAGCTCGGAGTGTCGGGCGGGCAGCAAACCTTGGTAAACACGCCAACATCAACTTTACATGAATGATAACGCCGAAGCTTATGGGGCGGCTTTCGGAGAGTGCGCGGGGGTGGTTTCGCGCAGCGGCCGGTGGTGGGGCTCGCCGCGTCGGCTCCGGGGGGCGCTCGGGGAGGAGCACCCCGCTGCGCGCGTCGATTGGGCGGCGGGGCGCCGAGCGCGAGAGCTTGCAGTGCTTGGCCGTCGGCGCGACGTCGCCCACGGGCCCGGGGGGCTGCCGCGCGCGCTCGCTTCGTTCGGATGCCTTCGGCGTGAGTCTTGGGGGGAGCTGGTGGGGTCGGCGCCCTCGATGGCTTCGGTGTGCGGGCTTCGATGTGCCCGTGTCCATTCGTTTCTCTGCATTCTGCAGCGTCTCTTCGTAGCGTGGCGCTGTGTGCGGCTCCGTCGACGTCGGCGTCTTCGCTCTCTTCGTCGGCGTCTTTGCTCTCTTCGGTCCCGCTGACTACGGGTGTCCTCTTCGGCGGTGCCCTCGGCTAGCCACTTGTGGTCCTGAGGTTGAATCGGCCTAGTCGAGCCGGACGTCCTGCCCGTCGGGTGCGGGTGCCTTCGTTCTCAACCTCCCCCGGTCCACGGAGAGTCCGTTGAGTGTCGTCTGAATGAGGCGACTCAGGATGCTACTGCCTTGCGCCAGTCCCGGCGTGCTCTCGGCGTGGCGGTGGTACCAGGCGTGGCGCGAGTGTACCGCCGCCTCCGTCCCGAGTGCGCGCACGATCTTCAGGGTGGAGGAGGGGGCCGGTGTGGTTCGCCAGATCCCCGGCTAGGCCTCCGCCCGCGCCTTCCCCGGCGGGATCTTCGGGTGTGCTCCCCCTTCAA